GTGAGTGTGAAAAGAAGTTCTGTTGGATGGCTGAATTTTGCCGCTCGCCGAGAAAGTCAGTGAGACTTGAAAAACAAAGTGTAACAGTAGCCGTGGGCGGGGATGCCGTCTCATAGTTGGCAAACGGCGCAGCGGCTGCCGTAGAGCTGGAGGTTGGATGTTGCTGTAGTTAGCCAATGCGGTGTGAGAGGTTGTCGCGGGACCGTGAGCGTTCCCTGGTGTGAGTGGTAGCGTTGATGTGGGTTGCCGGGGTGGCTTGTGGTGGGGGGCCTGTCCAGTATGAGTGTAGGCGTTCTGCGTCTTGTGGTGGGGTACGTGGTGAAGGAGAGGGTGAACGGCTGGAAAGTCCGGGTGGTAGTGGAGAACCTGGTGGTATGTTGTGTAGAATGGCCAGGTTTCTGCTGGAGAGTGTGGCTGTGGGGTTGATGCGGTATTGTCCTGGGAGCCCGGGGGCGGTGGTAACAAATTGAAGGAGCCGACGAGCCTGGGAGAGGTTATCGATCAGGCGGTCCAGCAAGATCAGGTCACCGCGCATTCGGTAAAGGAGGTTGTATGCTCTCTGGTCTTGAAAATAGGTCTGGCTTGGCATAGGTTCAGTGTGGAATGGGTGACGGCGGAGGTGTTGGTTGACCAGAAAGAGGAGGTCCAAAGAGCCGTTGAGGGATTGAAAATCGGGCTGAGTGCTAATCGAAGGTTGGAGCCAGCTCGGAGGGCGCTGTGGGAGGTAGTGTTCTGTGTCGGCGGGGTTGCTATGAGGGCGAGCGCGAGGATTGGCCATGACAATTGATGGAATAAAATGGCGTACAAAAGGCTGCGGAGCTGAAGTGAGCCGGAAAACTGACAAATCGAAGTTGGGCAACCTGGTGAAAGTAGACTGGATGTGAAAAACCAAATGTCAGTGCGAGTCAGTGGATTTGTCCTGCGGCACGCCGTAAAGAAAGGTGGGTGAAACGGGTCAAATGAAATAACTGACAACGGGCGTAAGTGGAGATTTCTCCGGATGACTGTCTTCACTAAGGTCCCGCTCAGCAGCCGGCGGCAGCAGCGCAGCAGCAGGAGTCGTTTGATGTTGTGAAGTCGGTGGCGTTGTTATGGGGGAAGGGGAGAAATCCGGTTGTGAATGTGGTGCTGGGGAAACTGCTGGTGATGTGGGTGTTGGTGATGGGGAAGGTGCTTGTCTTGGTGGTGCGGTTGGTAGTGGTGTGGAGAAGAGTTGCTGGTCCTGCTGACGTTGCATGTCTTTGAGTTCTTGCCATCGGGCTTGACATTGCTCAACGGAGAAGCCCACTCGGCGAGCCACAGTGGTCCAGTTGGGACGAAGCTTGGGGTTTTCTTTGAGTTCGACAAGGCGACAGTCGGCGTCGCCGTCCCAAGCATCCCAGTCCGCATGTTGGTTCAGTGGTGGTGGGGGTGGTTGCTTCCGCTTGCGTGTTGTGGTGGGTTGTGGATCTGGGGGTGTTGTTGGAGTGTCATCTGAGTCTTTTGAGGGTGTTGCTGGTAAACGGATGGGTGGTCTGGATGGTGCTGAGTCACAGGATG